GCAGATAGGCTTCGGGGACGTAAATGATTTTCAATGCCACACAAATCGTAATACATCGTTACTCAAGATAGCATAGTCATGAAGCTGAAGGCAATTAGAGGGTCGTTGGAGTAATTAATTGGAATGGATTCGTTAATTCGCCGGTTTGGAGAGAAAAGAACGATGGGTGAACTTTGATATACGGTTAATGTACACCCACAAATCAGGAGAGAAAGTATTCACGGCACTAATGGAGATCTATGAACGAGAATATGATATCCTGGAGGCGGAACGAATCGGAAAAGTATCTAATCGGATTAATCAACCTAACAGTAATAATGACCTATTTCACGTTCAGATGCCTCAACTATGAGCAAATGTTTGGTCTGACTCACCACTCGTTTCTGTTGGCTGATGTCTACATGGACAAATTTAAGGAGAATTTCAAAATTTTACCTCAGCAGCAAATGTGATATTCAAGGAAATCCGAACTTCACCCCAATAATATAAATAGTGGAAACGTCGATTAAGCAAACAAATGTTTGCCATTGTAAGACTCGAAAACTACTTATAAAATAAGTAGTGATCTATTGCAATAGTAAACATATATAGGCTTAATCGATGATAGCATGAAGTCTGCATTTAGCAGACGTAAATCACTAAGATCTGAAAAAGGTAAGTTGAGGGATAGATTAATTCAAAACAATTATCAACTATGATTAACAGATAGGATTAGAGAGAAGGGGAGGGAACGAGAAGTAACGTCGAGCAGGATACTTGATTATGCTCGAATATGGTTTTGACTCGCACAGCACGCACGCACTACAACACATTCACGTGGCAACATTGCAGGGTCAAACATATAAATGTTTTAGGGGAGGATACAGCTGTTCGGTCCCAATTTCATCCGTTTCACGCTTCATCTGCAGCCCCCTTACATGTCAGCGGCAGCGACTCTACTTAGCTCTCCAGCAAAAATTTAGGCAAATCATGAGATGTCAGATTAAGTGGACTAAGTTAGACTAAGTGGAAGTGTAGACATTAAACAGACAGCATTTCTTACCCCTGTGTTTTGGTGAATTTTTGTAAAACATGGTGTCCTATTCTGAACGATAGCCGTCGTCCGGCCACTTAAACTGACATCTCATGATTTGCCTAAATTTTTAGATACTTCAGCCAATTCTTGAGTGATCCAATCAACCATAAATAGTTTATCAAATTAAAATATGTGATAAAAGTTGTTTAGCTATTGGTCAAGTTACGAGAGGTTTTGTCAGCATAATGCGTCTTCGGTTCTAATATTTACGTATGAATAAACTAGTAAGCGAAAAATACGTACAAAACTCTATTATATGTCAGAAAGGCAATTAACTAAGGCTCAAACAATTATGTTGGCGCGAAAAAAACTGTTGACAGCACATAGCATTAGCAATAAATAAGCGAATTTCAAAACGCATCATCTTGCAATATCGAATTAAAAAGACTAGTATAAGAGTAACGCGCTAGAAAATTCGATTTTGTGAGTTGGTATACAGGCACATGACAACCTACAGCGAAAGTAGCTTTTGCCCGAACTAATTGCTGACCAGCTTTGTCCAAGGAGAGCACCAGCCGAGGAACCCAGGCTGTATATGCCTGAAACCGCTGATGAAGAATCAATGGTGCAGCAGGTTTATTAGTTGATAAGAGGTCAGAAGATATGGAAGGCTCTCGCGTTTCCACCGCCATGAGTGATGAGGTTGATGTATCAGTGGCAGCAAGAAAGTCATCTTGCTCATGAGT